CCAATTAGCTGTGGGCAGGGCCGGATTAAGAGCACAGTGGGCCTGGTGCTGACAATTATGATGGGCCTAATTACGTAATCTTATCGACCAAAAACACTAAAACAAACATACCTCCCAATTGTCATGTATCTGATGGAGATGGTGCTGGAGGGAAACTCATAGGATGCAGCTATAAGAAAACACATACTCTATGCTAATCTCTCTCTAATTTATGCTTTCATCTTTCAAGTAAATCCATAACCCCTAACAGCAGTGTCCAGTGAAGCAGGAAGTCAATGGGCGGGTAAAAGGGTGTGCCACTGGCGCGAATCACGTGACAAGACCTGCCAAAAGGGGTGAACATGCCCAAAAAGGGGGCATGTTTGTCCAAAGAATTGGAAGGTCAGCCTGGCATGAATGCATGTCAGGCTGCCTGCCAATCCTGCAGGCTGTCCAACTAAGGGCATACTATGCAGGCAGCACCTTGAGCTTGACATAAATGCGTCTAATGATGCGCTCACTCCATTCTTTCTAAGGACTGACCCCTAGCACTCGCTATAGTCACCAGAACAACTACAGCTTATTGTATTTGTTCTGGTAAGTGGAATCATTCCATTCAGGCTTTTTGCAGTAAACACTGTCTTTTGAGAGAAAATAACTCCACTGGCCGCTCCTTAGATGGCTGCTAGAGGTGCTTCCTGGAGCAGTACTGCCTTGTGTGCAGCACTGCCATATAGTGTCTCCACCCTCTGCGTGCAGACACTGAACTTTCCTCATAGAGATGCATTGATTCAATTTATCTTTATGAGGAGATGCTGATTGGCCAGGGCTATGTTGGACGTGTGCTGGCTCTGCCCCTGATCTGCCTAGTTGACAGTCTCAGCCAATCCTATGGGGAAGTATTGTAATTTGCTCAGGCCACCACTTCTGAGCCAGCAGCTGCAGAATTGAATACAAGTAATATTTTACTATATTTAGGGAGGCAAGAAGGGGCCAGGGTGGTGGTTTTAACATAATAGGGTCAGAAATACATGATTGTGTTCCTGACCCTATAGTGCTCCTTTCAGCAAGAGTATGTGAAGAGTAGTTAAGGTTGCCACCTTTCTTGGAAAAAATGACCAGCCTCAATCATTTGTATAATTAATTAGTTATGCATGACATCACATGATGTAAATCACAAGGAATGACATCAGAGAAAATTCTGTAAAATCACCTATAAACTCAGCAATTCATCTGCTGTATAGATGGATTGCTCCCAGTGTCCCCATGTCGCCCAGTCCCCATTTCTCCCAGTGTCTGTGTCCCCATTTCTCCCAGTGTCTCAATGTCTCAGTGTGTCCCCATGTCACTAGGATACTGGGGGCACTGAGAGACATGGGGACACTGAGACACTAGGGACACAGACACTGGGAGACATGGGGACACTGAAACATTTGGGGACACTAGGGACACAGAGACATGGGAACACAGACACTGGGAGACTAGGGGACACTGGCTGGGAGACAGACACTTGGGGACACTGGGAGACATGGGGACAGTTGTGGACATAGACATGTGGACACTGGGACATATAGGGACACTGGGAGACATGGGGACACCAGGCACACTGAGACACTAGGAACACAGACACTGGGAGACATGGAGACACTGAAACATTTGGGGACACAAAGACACTAAGGACACAGACACTGGGAGACTAGGGGACACTGGGAGACTAGGGGATACTGGGAGACTAGGAGACACTGGCTGGGAGACAGACACTTGGGGAGACATGAGGACAGTTGTGGACATAGACATGGGGACACTAGGCACACTGAGAGACATGGGACACAGACTCTGGGAGACTTGGGGACACTGAGACACTAGGGACACTGGCTGGGGGACATGGGAACATAGTGTCTCCGTGTCCCAATGTCTCAGTGTCTCCCAATGTCCCTATGTCTCCCAGCGTCCCCATGTGTCTCAGCATCCCCATGTGTCCCCTAGTGTCTCAGTGTCCCCATCTTTTCCAGTGTCCCCAAGTGTCTCAGTGTCCCCAGGTCTCCCAGTGTCTCAGTGTCCCCTAGTGTCTGTGTCCCCTAGTGTCTGTGTCCCCTAGTGTCTCAGTGTCCCCATATGTCCCCAAGTGTCACCAAGTGTCTCAGTGTTCCCAGGTCTCCCAGTGTCTGTGTCCTAGTGTCTCAGTGTCCCCTAGTGTATGTGTCATCATGTGTCCCCCTAGTGTCTGTGTCCCCTAGTGTCTCAGTGTCCCCATGTGTCCCCTAGTGTCTCAGTGTCCCCATGTGTCCCTGCTGCCTTTCCCCCCATCCCTCCCTTACCTGTGCTGTAGAGCTGATGTCTGGACTCTGCGCTGTGTAGCTGCTCCACCAGTGATCAGTGAGTAGTAGAGAGAGGCAGGGATATGTTGTAACTTCCTATACCTGCCTCTCTCCACACACAGTGACCCCTACTGGCCAGTGCTGGTATTGCAGAGTAATCTCTGTTCATACTGAGAATAATATTTGCATTTGTATTGCCGGTATTACTGCAATACCGTCACGGTCAGGCAACCTCAAATACTGGCTGTGTCTTAAAATACCAGTCAGGTGGCAAACCTAAGAGTAGTGTGGAAAAAAAAATATATATATATTATTTTTTTTTAATGGGCCTATTCCATGGGCCTGGGCCTGGAGCTGCAGCTCCATCAGCCCCTATGTTAATCCGGCCCTGGCTGTGGGATCACTTGCTATTTGGCTGATTGGGTTTGTTCATACCATGATCTTCCAGACAGAGAATTATCTATCTGGAAGACATATTTTATCTATTTAAATTGTAATCTTTTAAATCAATGATGTCACACAAAATGCCAATAGATTATCTTGACTGTCTGGGAGTCATGGAAGGACCTTTCTACCCCAGAAAAAAAGTAGGCAATGAATGGATTGTTATTGGATTGACAATTTTGAAAGTTTTGGAAAGTTATTTGCATGTATCAGTTACAGTGTTGATCACTGGACTGCACTGAGGGAGTCAAACTCCTGCTAATCTATACCGGAACTAATCTATCTGTCCGAGATTTACCTGTGGAGTCTTACAAGTAAATATCAAGAGGATTGATTTGTCCAGGTGTAGATTAACAGGAATTTGACTCCTTTGTTACAACTGTAGCAACTAACATAAAACTAACAACTGTAGCAAATAAAAAAATGTCTGTTGCTCACTATGGTTTACATCAATTAACTGTGTTATTTACCGTAAATACGCGTGTGCGACAAAGCCAGCTATAATTAATTGTCAAATAACTGTTACACTGTGACATCAACTGAAAATCTGTAGGTAAAATCTGATTGATACTCCTTTTTCTCCTATACTCCCAAACATATCCCCCTAGGCGTCTTTCGATTCTCTCTCCCCATAGTTTGTATATCACTATCTCTTTTTTTTTGTTCCTAGTCTCTTTTTTCCGTCTATTTCTCTACTTTAACTAATTCCCTTGTATTCTTCTATAACACTGTCTGTCAAGCCTTGCGTCGCCTTTGTAAGTGTCCTGGTATGGGGTAGTAACCCAACAAAGACAAGCTAAAGCTATACCAAAGCTACAGAACAAATAGGGTAGGAGTGTATTGCCAGTCCTTAGAGATATATTTAGGATGCACAAAAAGACAAAAGAATAGTCAGGGTAATTCTATTCATTTTACAAAAAGTGCAGATTTCAATAGAAAGTTACACTTTTATAAATTAAGGTTGTTATATACCCCTGGCTCCCAAGAAGAAAACCTGTCCTGTTACTTCCGGAGTGGAGCTAAATTCAAGAGGCAGCAATTACCAAGAAAGGCAGCCTTTCAAAGATTTCTCACTGAGCTGCATTATAAAGTCTATGATTGGAGCTGTGTGATTAGATAAACCCCCAATAAAAAAATAAAACCCTTAATGAAATGCATGTATGTTTTTATTTGAGTATATCTACTAAATAGTGATTTTTAAAATTTATTTAAACAGTGGAATGTTCCTTTAATGACTGATTGAGAACTTCCTTCCTTTCTTTTGTCCATATACTTATCCCAGACACAGATTACACCAGTGTGAGCTCCACACCAACTACTTAACACACTGCTGGTGTTCTACCTCTTCCTGTTAAAGGTAGTACAGAATAAGATCGGTTAAAACTGGGGAACACTGATAGATAATGCAGGCTTATGTAATATATCATCATGTCATATAACTAATTCCAAAAATCCACATTATTTTACCTGCCAAAATACCTTGCAAAATCTCAAATCTCAAAATAAAAATCTTTGCAACACAATCTTATTTTACCCCACTGTACCCATGGCCACCTACGCTTGTTTTATACTCGTTTATATAAGTTCCCCAGAACTCCCCTCGATCATCAGATGTTAGCCATTACCTGATAAAACTCCACATTTACTTGCCTTAACGTCTAATCATTGATTTTCAATACACTGCCCTCCCTCCCCTGCTCCCCCAATTCAAAACACTGCCCTCCCTCCCCTGCTCCCTTAATTCAATACACTGCCCTCCCTCCCCTGTTCCCCCAATTCAATACACTGCCCTCCCTCTCCTTCTCCCCAATTCAATACACTGCCCTCCCTCCCCTTCTCCCCCAATTCAATATACTGCCCTCCCTCTCCTGCTCCCTTAATTCAATACACTGCCCTCCCTCCCCTGCTCCCCTAATTCAATACACTGCCCTCCCTCCCTTTCTCCCCAATTCAATACACTGCCCTCCCTCCCCTGCTACCCCAATTAAATACACTGCCCTCCCTCCCCTTCTCCCCAATTCAATACACTCCCCTCCCTACCCTGCTCCCTTAATTCAATACACTGCCCTCCCTCCCCTGCTGCCCCAATTCTATATACTGCCCTCCCTCCCCTGCTCCCGAATTCAATACACTGCCCTCCCTCCCTTGCTCCCTAATTCAATACACTGACCTTCCAAAACCCCTTCCATAATTTAATACATCACCCCCTCCCCTCTCTCCCTACCCCCAGTTTAATGCAAAACCGGAAGGTCCCCCAGTCCCCTTTTACCCTACCTCACGTTGCTCCAGTTCCACGATCTTCTGTGCTCATGCAGGCTATACTGCGAGCAGCAGGAAGGGGTAGTGGCTGGCCTGCTCTCAATTCGCCAGACACTCTGCACACGGTAGGGCCGCCACCTCTCAGCTGCCGGATATGCAGGGCCGTCTTTAACGCTGGACAAAAGGGGCAGCTGCCTCTTGAGCCCCACTGCCCACAATAATATGCAAAAAAAATTTTTTGCCTCCTGAGTCCTTCACTATGCGAGCAGCATCGCTGCACTGGTATTCACGCTGAACACTCCTTATAGAAATGCATTGATTCAACGCATCTCTATGAGGAGGTGCAGTGCAGTGTTTTGCCACGCATGCACAATAGCCTCCCAATGCTTCTCTATGGGAAAGCAGTGGGTTGGCTGATATATACTCACACACTCCACATTTATGTGTGTGTGTTGTGGTGGAGGGCGTGATTGCATGCTAGGAAGTGGGAAGGTGGGATCCTGGGGGTCCAAGTAAATTCTTGCCCAGGGTCCAATCAATATTAAAGACGGCGGATATGGCATCAAACACTGTATCTGGTGGCTGGCGTAGACAAAGGCTTTGAGCTCTTGCGGCCGCGGCTGGTCATAGAAGCATGCGATCAGTCACGGGCCGCGGCTGATCATAGCCACAGCTCGCAGAGGCCCCAGGGTAGGCGGCCTACCAGGAAATTTCCCGGTAGACCAGTCCAGCCTTGCTTCTTCTAACACATGCCAGTTTCTCATGCATCATCACTCTGAAACCTTGTTCTCTCCCTTTGACATTACTACCTCCACCTCTCTATCCTATGGGGCCTTCTGCTAACCCACTCTCTCAGGCTGTGGGACTATAACTATAGGGGTGTTGGATTTTTGCTTTCCATTTATTCATCCTTTTATATCTTTCCAGTTAATCCTTCCCTCTCTATTTCATCGTTTGGCTTTACTCCATCCACCTTTTCAATCCCCCATTAACTTACATTGCTGCCATGTACACCCATGCTCTATTCTCCACTTTTTTCTACGGTCTACTCTTCATTTCCAATCTTCTGACATTCCACTCAACATCCTTGGTGACTTCAACATCCCTATTAACCAACCTAACAGCCAAATAACTTCAAGATTCTCTCAATTACCTCCTCCTTTAGCTACACTTAGTGGATTAACCATCCTGCTCTCAATGCCAGTAATATCCTAGATCTCATCTGTGCAAGAATCATCTACTAAATTTTGCTATCAAAGTGCCCTTCATCTAGTATCTTAAATATAACTTATCTTTTTTGATTTCTGTGAATTCTCCTCTTCTGTCAAGTTTCCACTTGCAACTTCCTTGATATATTACATTAAAATATATGCAATAGACTATAAAGAACAGACTTTGTAATAATCTTAATTTTTCCTTAATGTATTTAGGGACCGATTCAGTGTTACTGTGCAGAGCTGGATTCCCAGTAGCCAGAAATGGAGTAAAACTCCATTTTATTACATAACTCTGCTGTTGTCTGCCTTCGTCAGACAAATCAAAGCTAATTGAATCCTATATATCAGATTACTATTGAATAACTTTTGCTCTTGTATTTTGAATTCCCAAGATGAATAAAAAAATAAGCATGACTGCAGGATGCAATTGACAACATCAATAACTAACAACAAAATTGAAGTCACTTTGTCTCTACAGTTCCCATTTGTACCTACCACCATTCACACGATCTGTGTACTGAGAGACAGCTGCGGTGATGTGGCTGCTGTAACAATATTCTCATTATATCACAATCCTTTTAACAATCTTTAAAGAAGTACTGGCTCGAAATTGACCTGTCACTCAAATAACAAAAAAACAACAACCAAAAAACAACAAAACAAAACAAAAAAACAAGCATTTAACACATAAAATAGATGTATTAGTTGTGTAACATGTGAAGTGGTTTTCTAGATATTTAAAATATATTTTTTTTTTTGCCAACACATTATTCAAGGGCATTTATAGCCCCTGTGTATATAGTCTCATGTGATGTCTACAGTTATAAAGTTAGGTATTGAATACAAACACGTTGCATAGGTGGCAAAAGGTGGCATAGTGCAAGGTAATACTGGTATAGAGAGAGCGAAAGAAGACTCCAATGAAAGGTGGGAAAAGCCTCACACAACTTTTGTAGAAGCCAGAGGCTCTGGAGGAGCAGTCCCACCTGTGTGCCCTGAAAAATTATTACCTTCCAAGACCTTCTCGTCCTATACCTATACCAAGGGTAGGCACACTTTGACACTCCAAATGTGGACTACATCTCCCATACTTCTCTTACAGTCATACTATTGGATATGGTGTTTGTAATGTACATTGGCAAATGGTGGAATCATTGAAAAGGAAAGACACATTTGAGTTAATAGTTTGTTTTTAAAGCATTAATAGTTGTTAATAAATACTATACATTTTTTAACTGTAGGATATATTAAGATTTTACATTTGTTACCTTGAATTTCTTTCTTAACATTTAGGAGGTGGATTTTAAACATGTTGAGAAAGCAGCAATTGATAAAAGAAGTGGCCATTCATTCTCTTCCGAAATCTAAATTATTGGTAATCTCAGGCCAATCCAAAACATCTCATGTAGAAGCATTGTGACCTTATGGCACATGAGCATGAATCGCAGTAATCTTAGACACATTAACAACTTTTGCAGAACGTAAAGCCCTTAACATTTCCATTCACACTTCTGTTCAAAAAAATAATGGTATGTTGTCACATAGCTCCAAAAATATATTTAATCCTGCTCGTTAACACGATATAGATAGTTGTTTCGAGAGGGAATGGTCCTCTATACTTGTCCAAAATAATCAACTGTTTTGGTCTGCAATTTTGAATAATAGAATAATTTAACAAATTTTGGTTCTGACTTTTGTACCATGTATTCTACTGCACCACATTTCACATAGCATACGCAGTTTCTTTTCATTTCACATAGCATACGCTGTTTTTTTCCCAGGGCCCACCCCAACTCTGCCCACAGGACACATCCCTGAATATGCTCACAGTGCCTGTCCCACAATCTGCCCACAAAGATACCTTCTGTATGTGTAGAGTGGATGATCACCCTACAATTTGCCCATTCTTGCAGGGTTGTATTTAGCACAGAGCAGTGTTTGTGTATTTGAATGTAAGCATGTTTTTATATGGTATATATGTGTGTGAATGTTGGCTTTTGACACACACACAAACACACACACACACTCACAAACACAAACTGATACACATAAACAGACACACAAACCAACATACATGCATAGACCCACAGATACACTCACTGACACAAACAGAGATACACACACACACACTGACATACAGATACACAGACTGGCACATACACACAGACATCCCAACATGCAAAAACTAATTTCAGGGAAGTGGCTTCACCAGCTGTGTGGTGCTGGCGCAGTCCTTTTCCCTCATGGTTCCGACGCTGTGTGATGACATCAGAGCGCAGGCTGGGAAACCTGGCGTCTGTGTTCTGAGCTCTGACTCGTTCATTACTGAATTCTGGAACCATGAGGAAGCACAGTTGCACCAGGGACTCAATTTCTAAGAGCTGGCAGAGAGATCTATAAAATATGCACAGTTGTGGTGTGCCGAAACCGATGATGCGGTAGGCCTGTAGTAGAAGAGGGTGAACCCTGACTATTATTGTTAGTAAAGGGAGTGGTGGGGGGGGGGCAAATCTCAAGACCAATAACAGTAATGAGGAGAGGTCTAGCGATCCTTAAGTAAGGAAGTCAAGGCCCTCCCACAACTACAGGCCCAGCCTTCCATTTGTGTTCAGGGCATCAAAGCCATAATGACAGTATGAAAATTATACAATATGAGACAGATAGAAATTATGAACAGTCGGTTGTGGTGTGCCGAAACTAATGATGCGTTAGGCCTGTAATAAAAGAGGGCAAAAATGAGTATACCATACAAGATTTATTCAGCCAACAGTGACAGTAATATAGCATATATCACATATTGATGTTACAAAAGACTTTGCGTATTTTCTCTATTGGTTGGGTATGTATCTGGTATATGAGGATGATTTCCACCGTCCTAATGTTTGTATAATATGTACCAATATGTTCCTACTAGAAGCAGTGGTGGTTGCTCCAATGCGTAAGGAGTAGTGGGATGGATTAAGGCCTAATATTGCTAGTAATACTCTGATATAGAGCATGAATTTGCTTGTGGTGATAAGATGTCAATGGCATAAGATATCAATGACAGCAAATGCTGGACATGTTAGAAATGTTTTCACCCAGGGCAGAGACTCATTTGAGTACCCCTAATTTCCTTTCAAGTGCAGACAGCTGGTGCATGCTGGGATCAGTGAAATCCCAGCATGCACTTGCCCCCTGGCTTTCCCTGCAGCCACCAAGGCTTCTAAATAGATTGTGTTGCGTGTAAGGGTGGCTACTTGTAGGCTTTGTGTGTTGTGTTTTTGGTGAGGTTGTGTTTCCTACGTGGGAGGTGACTGTGTATAATGATCACTATCTTCAGGGGGTGACTGTGGCAGGGTGGGTTTGGTAAGTGTGAAAGGGTTTGGGGAGTATATGTGAGGGTGGTGAGCTTGCCACAGTTAGGGAGTGAGCTTGACAGGATTGGGGGGCTGAGTGTGAGTGTTGGGGTTGAGTGAGTGTGACACAGTGAGCAATGTTAAGTGATTGAGGGAGGGTTGTGAGATTTACAGATTAGGGAGGTTAGTGTGACAAAGTGAGGAGAATGTGATAGGGTGTGTAGCAGGGAGAGGGGTGGTGAGTGACTGTGGCAGGGTGGTAAGTGTGACAAGGGGAGAATGACAATATGTAGGGAGGCAGTCTCCCCACACTGACTAAGAATGCATTTAATATATATTGCCTTGGTCGCCTCCTGCTTATCTCCTGTGCAAGCAGGCAATAATTCATCCCATGTGGTCTATTGGTGGTTTGGTGAGCTGCTGGTGGACTCCATGGTGGTCCAGTGTGCAGCTCCCCTTATTATTTGGGGCTAAAGGTGTTCCAAGTAGAACACAAAGCTTAAAATGACACTATAGACAACCAGGTAATTTCATCTCATTGAGCCCCTATCTCCATAACTCTGCAATGAAAAAGATTTCAGTTTTAGAGAAACTGCAATGCTTACATTGTAGGGTTCAGACATCCGCTAGTGACTGTGTTCTTGGTCTCTAATGAAGACAGCCAGGGCCGGCCTCAGGGGTGTGCGAGCTGTGCGGCCGCACAGGGCTCCATGCAGCAGGGGGCGCCATGTGGCCGACACAGCTCGCACATGGCCGGGCGAGTGCAGGGTGAGCTAAAAGAAAGTCCCCGGGTGGAAGATTCATTATTTGCCACCGGAGACTATGAAAAGGGGGTAGGGCTTACGAAAGGTAGGGGCAGAGCTTACTGCATGGAGGAGGGGGGGCTAAAAGGCACTGAAGTTGTACTGCACAGAAAAGAATCCCTGCTTCCACTCCTCCCATCCAGCCATAAGGGAAATAGGGAATTGTGACTGTACAGTACTGTGTGTGTGTGTGAGTGTGAGAGAGACTGTCTGCCTGTGTGTGTGTGAGACTGTACTCTGTGTGTGACTATAACAGTGTCTGACTGTGTGTATGTGTGTGTGACTGTACTCTGTGTGTGAATGTCTGCTTGTGTGTGTGTGTGTGTGTGTGTGAGAGACTGTACTCTGTGTGTGACTGTAACAGTGTCTGACTGTCTGCCTGTGTGTGTGTGACTGTAACAGTATCTGACTGTCTGCGTGTGTGCACGTGTGAGTGAGAGACTGTACTCTGTGTGTGACTGTCTGCCTGTGTGTGTGTGTGTGTGAGAGACTGTACTCTGTATGTGACCATCTGTAACAGTGTCTTCGTGTGTGTGTGTGTCTGAGACTGTACTGTGTGTGTGACTGTCTGCCTGTGTGTGAGACTGTACTTTGTGTGTGACCGTCTGTAACAGTGTCTGACTGTGTGTGTGTGTGTGTGAGACTGTACTCTGTGTGTGACTGTCTGCCTGTGTAACTGTGCCTGACTATATGCCTTTTTGTGTGACTGTAACCAGGACCGGTCTTTGGGGTGTGCGAGCTGTGCGGCTGCACAAGGTGCCCTGGCAACAGGGATGCCAGGTGGCGACACAGCTCACAGTCGGTCACTCACAAACCGGCCCGAATTGGAATGCAGGAGGAGCGTGGGGGTGCGACGTTGGAAGGATCTGTTCAGTGGGTGTCAGGGCGGCAGGTGCTCTTCAGTCGGCGCGTCAGACAGAGTGGGAAAAACTGACAGCTGGATACAGGGAGCAGCAGCCTTTAATGTAAGTGTTTGTCCTTATTGCTTTTTTTTTTTAATATAACAATTGCATTTTATTGAAGCGGGCAGGGGGCTAGTGATAAGTGGGCAGGGGGCTAGTGATAAAGGGGGCAGAGGGCTGAAGGGGGGGCTAGTGATAAGGGGGAAGTGATAAAGGGGGCAGGGGGCTATAAGGGGCAGGGCTGGTGAAGGGGAGATAAGGGGGCAAAAGGGGGTGATAAAGGGGGCAGGGGATAGTGATAAGGGGGGGGGCTGGTGAAGGGGGAGTGATAAAGGGGGCAGGGGGCTAGTGATAAGGGGGGCAGGGGGCTGATGAATGGGGGCAGGGGACTGGTGATAAAGGGGGGCAGGGTACTGATGAAGGGGGGCAGGGTTTTGTTGAAGGGGGTGCGGGCAACAGATTGTGAATGTGCCTTAAATTGTCTAGAGGGGGTCAAACAAAGATGGCGGGGTGGCACCACGCACAGGGCGCCTGAACACATAAGGCCGGCCCCAAAGACAGCCATGAGGACTCCTAACGTCTTCATAATCCCCATAGAAAGCTCTAATGTGCATGCAGTCCTTGTTACGCATGTGCATTTGGTTCCCCCATTGGTCTGATGTCGCAGGAGGAGGAGACCGAGTCAGCGCTGAGGAAAAAGACAAGTAAAATATGTATTTTTTTAAACCCTTTATTCACTGGGGGGGGGTGACCTAAAGTAATACTATAGTGTAAGAGTACAGTTTTGCATTGCTAGTGCTATAGTGTTCCTTTAAGCAATCTTCTGTACAAAGCATATCATGTCCTAGCATGTTACAATGTAACATAAAATAGTAAACTGAATGTGAAAAGTGATTATTACCTGATTTTATAGGAAACATCTCAACATAAATGGTAGACCTGCAAATGACTGAGCTGTATTATCTGGCAAAAATGATGATAAAAGAAACCTCTGACTTTTTAAGTGGGACAGAATCTTTACCACTGATTGTTACCATCAGAAAGTAATGGAAGGGAAAATAAAATCCTATATAATAAGTGGTTTTGCTCTATGGCTAATATCTTCTTTCAGTGGGCAGGACAGTTATTGTCCTATTACCTTCCAATTATAATCTTTCAGCATAGACATAAAATCATTTGAGATGCACTGAGACTGTACCTGCATAATGTATTTAACAGAAATTAACCTGGTTACGTCCTCACTCTGTTGAAAATGAGAAAGTAAAATTCGGTAAAATCAATCTCCTTACAGCCAAATTACTCCAGGACTGGATTTGAATTTCATATAAATGGCCAGTCCCTAAGATAATTTCTTTAAAAAAAAAAAGGCCCTTGATGGGATAGCTGGGATCATTTGGTATTTTGTGTTCACTGATGGAATGAGTAAGATGATCATGTAATTAAGGAAATACACCTCAACCGCGTTCTATCGATGACTTAAACCTTTCTGTTGATAGATGTCTCCTGGCTTAAAAGTATGTGTAAGTGTGAAATACAAAGTAAATTTGCCCTATTTAAAGAATGGCTAATTATATTCTGAAGAAAATAAATGATTGATTTATTTAAGGACTAGATATACCCACGTATGCATGAACACGCAGACACACACACACTATTCTTTTCTGAGAATTGAGGTAAACATGACGGATATGTTTAATGGAACACTTTGGATACTGACAATTGACCTCATATTTATGATGCATTTTTCTACCTGTTCAAATATCTTGAGTTTTGAACTAAAATGTTTTGCAGCATTGCTCCTCCCCATTAGTCATGCTACCCATTAACACAAAAACTCTTCCTGATTGGTAAGTAGTGTAGTGTAGTGTATAATTTGCTGAGATGAGTATTTTAGGCCTATAAGGAAGCTGCTCTGTGAAAAAAGAAGGGTTAGATTAAAGATAATTGTTACACTGCAGAAAATCTGCAGAATCTTTTTTTAGGAAAACTGAAGAGATTTGAATTTGAAGAAAAATGCAGCATTGCTATAAGGCCAAAACTTGTCAAATGTACTTAAGTTGATGTTACTTCTCAGAACCCCAAAATAAGAAGGGTCAACAGCAAGTGTCCCCTCCTCTTCTTTTATGCATGTAAGGTGGTGGAGGAATCAGTAGGCTTATTAAGGGCCAGTTAATGGTTTATTCCTTATCCATCCCCGGCTTGTGGGCTGGAGGGAGATATAATGCTGTTGGTATGGCATACTAAAGCTCCTTTATCCAATAATTAGTCAGTTACAGGATTCTCCGTTACCTGGTCTTAATACCCCTGGGGTCAGAAGGTGGCCATTCTCTATGACCTTGCTACTAGAATTAGATGTAACTTTTAGTCAGATATTGGCAAGAATACATTTTTACCAGCTATCATTGAAACCAGGTGCTACTTAGCATTTAGCAATCCTATTGATCTCTATTAGAGCTGTGAAAACCTTTGGCATCCGTTAGTTACTAGCTGTTTATTGGTAAGTTTTGTGGCATGGAAACAGCTAGTAATTACTTATGATAGTGCTAAGATTTTAGCAGTTACAGACTTGTTAAATGATTGCACCAGAATAGAAATGAGCCCTGATTTAGTAATCCCAATAATACTTTTTTTTTAATTTTTATAATTGAACTGAAAAAAAGATGAAATAAATATTTTTTATAAATATTTTTTTCCCTGTATTATGTCACGGACAGATAGGATCCAACTAGCAAAGATAAGGAAAGCAAATACTAATTAGAAAAGAAGGCGTTTTACCGGACCTTAGAATTGCCGGACTAAATGCTAAATAGAATGGTACAAATGTCACATCATGCCTTGTTCTGCGGATCAGTCTGGTGATGGCTTCTGGTATCCAGTACTATTTTTACAATTCTTGTTTAGTTTTTTTTGTTTTTTTGTTTTTCTATTCTATGTCTGGTTTTCTTTATGCTGGGTTTTCTGGGTTCATTCCTGTAATCTTTCCCTGGAATTCCCAGTCTCCAGGTTTCCTTTAAATGTTTCTCTTATGTTGCCACATCCGTTTGATTTCCATCATTCCTTTTGTTTCAGTGTCCCTGCAGGCAGCTGCTCAAGCCTTCTGTCCTTTCTTGCAGGTAAGTGCTATATGTGTTTCTTATTGTTCTTTTGGCATACATTAGGCAGAGTAGGACCTGCCAGATATGGGGTACATTGGTGTTGTTGGCAGGCTTATGCAATGTATGATCATATAATGTGACTAAATCCCCATGATTTTCATATATAGTACTTAGTTATTTCTCCTCTTGTTTTGCCTATCATATCTTGTCTTGTTTTAGTTTGTATTCCCAGTCCATGTACAGTCCTGTCCTGCCCCTGTTTAGTAAATGTTTCCTTATGTATTGTGTACATGTTCTGGGTTTAGCTTCCTATCCTTCTCTGGTTCTGGGTTCTACTAGTTCTGTCTTGTTTTCATGTTTGGTGACTATCCTAGCCTTGCCTTGTTTCCGTACTGGATACATTCTTGCTGCAGAGCCTCCCTATTCAGCTCCTGGGAGGTCTGCTTACTTCCTAGCTTCAAGTTCCTGGGATCCGCTGTAGCTGCATCAGGGTTCTGGTATGTGGCCGCACAAATGCTGGTGCTCAACACCAGAGGGTGTGTGGTTGCCCTGCACCACGCCCTGATAATCCACTTCCACGCTGGAGACTCCCAACAACATCAGGCACTCAGGGGTCCCGGTCACCGGACCGCCACCCGTGACAACAAGACAAGCAGAGGTCAGGGACACAGAAAACATTAGAAATTAGAAGAATAAGAAATGCTCTTTCAGTTAAACCTAACAAATGGAAACCAAGACAGGGCATCAAACAAAAGATTTGGTGAGGGCTCTAATTGGTTAATTGAAACTGGTGGAGCCAAAACGTGCTTGCACGTTGATGACATGATGACATCTGCACCACCAGCATCATCCATTGAGGCGGCGCCCTCAAATTGCAGCCTTTGGAGGCGGCCGCCATTTATTGAAACACCAACGTGATCTTTGGCCGTGTAGCATTGAGACCAGATGGAGACCTAGCATGAGGTAAGTATATTATCTAGTTTATTAGTGTGTCCGTGATGATCAAGCACGCATCCCAGTGGCTCCCAGCCAGGGGTAAGTGCTGACGCTCTCTGTGCTGCTCTGTATGACTGAGTAGTGGGCTTGTGAGGAATATCTCTGATCTCCCCACTGGCCCATGTAGATAAAGTTTCTTGCATGGTCCATGCTCACTGAGCATTTGCCCTGTATGGGCCTGCCGGAGAGATCTTTTGATCTCCCTGTTCAGCCTTGGCACTTGGCCACTGCAGCCCACCAGGCACTTGCATGGTTTGCCTAATGGCCAGTCCGTGCCTGCTGATTACTTTCAACCAATGAGCTAAGCCATGCACCACTAGGCTTAGCTCAGACAGACAGCTTCCAGCACTCCTTTAGACCTTAGTAGAGGCAGAGATCATAGCCTGACGACCCCGGATAAGAAGTCTAACTGCTGTGAATGGATTGACTATCAACATTGATTAGGCATCCCATGCACCATAATCACTACAGTGAGCTGTAGCATTTATGGTGCTTGGAGTGTTTCAAAAAGCCTTAAAAGGCATTGATCATAATTACTACCGGAACACACCTGGGAAACATCCTAACATATACATCAGAACAACCAAGGACCATCTCATTTTCTGGATGAAAATGAAGATGACTTTTCAATACATTTCTCTCCTGATAATGTATAAGAAAGTGTAAATCTCTAACTATGGTACTTTCATGTATATACTTTCTTCAATGTATATAAAGAATTTTAAATGGTCTAAGCAAAAGCCACAATTTGGAAGCTGGCTTCATCCACAACAATACCTCAAGCCATAGAAAGAAAAATACATTAATGAATAAATAGATAGCTGGTGAATTGGTCATTCATTATGTGGATTTATTGTGCAGTAAATGAGCTCTATGGTCTAGACAAATACCACATTGTGCATCTTTTGTCAAATCTTTTATAGGCTGTGTTTGCATAATATAGATCTGTGGGTCAGAGACCTATCCAAATTAAACCCACATCTAGGGTTAGATTACATTTATTCCGTGTGTCCCATCTTATGCATGTGCATAGTCAAGTCAGTTTTTATCTTGTAAATATCCATACCTACGTTTCATATAGGAATCTGTTCTATTTAGAAAATACAAATTAAACCATACGGAATATGTTACACTCTGTGCTATTACTACTAACCTTTATAAATGCTGCACTTTGTCTCCATGTGTTTCCACCAATCACATGACCTACTTATACCCAACAAACAGAAGAAGAATGCTTTTTAGTATCCCAGGATACTCTTTATACTAATATTAGCAATGAGATAGAGAGTTTAATGTGGTACAGCACCTTTTACAATTAGGTAGTATGATATAAAAAAATATTTTCCAATAAAAGGAATTTTTGGTCCCGATTAATAATTATTATTTTTTTTGTTTGGAGTAAATTATTTGCAGTGCAGTAGAACAACAATGGGGAAGACATTTGTGCCCAGCTACGTGAATTTGTTTGTTAGACTTGTGCACAGGAAAAATATTGGTTTTGTCTAAATCGATTCATTCGATAATTTTTTTTTTTTTTTTTTAAATGTCTGAATGTCTGACCCGTATTCCGTCCATGGATTGTCTAAATTTCATCCAGTAAATTCAGTATGTTTTTTGATTTGGACGAATCAAATGACATGTACTCAAACATGATTTTTTTCCAATTTTCCAACAGGTTGAGCATTCAAAGCAGCTCCATAACTGCTACTACTTGAAGTAGTACTTATGGTGCCAAAAAGAATGATCCTACTGCCTTGCCATTGTAAGGAAGCAGTCAAACCACAATTATTACTAGTTTGACCTGCTTCTTGCACAGGGTGCCACTCTCCGCTTCTTCAACCAGACAGCTGGATGTTCCTTCTCAGTACAGTAAAGGGCTAGCTCATTAGCTGATAGTGTCAGTTCAGCTATGCTCTGCTAATGAGCCATATTCTGTAGTGCCACGTAAATTCTGAGAGCTGCCAACTCTTTATAGTGAAGACAGGGAGCAGACCCTGGTGGAACCATGGTTAGAACAAGACGTCAAACCAATGAAAAATTATTTGGCCACAAGGTAAGTTGTCAAACCATTTTCTCAATGATTTTACTATTTAGACTGAGAGCCAGTACAGCCATTGGACTACTATAGCAGGCTCAGCAGGGCTGTAGTAGTTATGGTGCTTGGAGTGTTCTTAAATGCCATGTGACATATTATGTAACATAACATTGCAATATTTTTTGTACTTTTTTGTTATGTGATTTTATGAAGAAAATACACTAATCCAAGCACCAAAGCCACTACAACCTGCTCTAGCTCTACAGCGCAAATGGAAGCTCCATGCAGTAATTCTTAGCCTACTTACTTCTTTTATAGTATACTTCTACTACTACACATACAGAGACGTGAACAGTGCCCTTCTAATGTAGCAGGCATTCACACACCTCAAACAGGGAGAAACAAAGTAGCAGAGGGAGTAAGTAATTGACAACCCTCTCTCTTGTGTCACCTGAGGACAAAGACTTTGCACATCAGTACTTATGTGAAGTGGATATCCAAAATGCAAAAGGAGTGCCTTATTGAATTACCGGCTATCTGCTGGAAGGTAGCTTGTGTTGCCACACGACTGAAGCAGCCAGAGAACATCCACTTTTACAGGGATTTAAAATAAAATAAAAAATAAAACTCTCTCTCTCTACCTTCAGCTTTTTAGGTTAATTCAGCCAAAAATCTATTCCTACTCCTAGTCCAAAATTACAGACACTTTAACCAACACAATAAAAATCTAAATTGTGTTTCCCGTGTGTGCTGTGCTGTGCTGTGTTTCTGTGTCATTTTAGGCAAACAAGTGCAAGTATCCACGAAATGTAGCCCCCCCCAAACCCACTCATTTTAGTATTGACAATGGGAAATCCAGAAACGTTTGTTTCTTTTTGGTCCACAAATAAACTGTATGTATCACTCCCTTTACACATTTGGCATGTTCTCTGTACTTGTATTTGACCCTGCTTTGAGCAACAGGGTGCAGGGTCAGCATCACAGAGTTAGTAGTTATTTGAAGGGACACTCCAGGCACTAATACAGCTTTTTCTAAATTATGTTTCTATGGTGCCAGGAGGCACCCAGAGGCACTCTTACCTCAAGTGGTTAAACTGTTCTCGAATTGTTTAACCCCAAAGTTGCGTCCAGCTCCCAAGTCCACTCAGTGCCCCTGCCCAGCAGCACTCCGCGTTTCCTGAATCTGAAAATTCAGAAGCTGGATTTTGCCAGCGGGGAGTGCACTTCGCCGCTGGAGTCAACTTGGGGGTTAAACCATTTGAGAAGAGTGCCTCTAGAGGTCTCTTGACACCATAACAACTCAATTTAGATGAAGTTGTTTTGGTGCCTAGAAACATGGAAACAGAATGTGACGGCAGATAAGAACCATTCGGCCCATCTAGTCTGCCCAATTTTCTAAATAATTTCATTAGTCCCTGGCCTTATCTTTTAGTTAGGATAGCCTTATGCCTATCCCACGCATGCTTAAACTCCTTTACTGTGTTAACCTCTACCACGTCAGCTGGAAGGCTATTCCATGCATCCACTATCCTCTCAGTAAATTAATACTTCCTCTTGTTGTGGTAATTTTCCTTCTTTTAAATATGGTCTCCTCCTTTACTGTGTTGATTCCCTTTATGTATTTAAATGTTTCTATCATATCCCCCCTGTCTCGTCTTTCCTCCAAGCTATACATGTTAAGATCCTTTAACCTTTCCAACCTTTCCAGGTAAGTTTTAGCCTGAAATCCATTAATCAGTTTAGTAGCCCTTCTCTGAACTCTCTAAAATATCAATATTCTTTTGAAGATCCGGTCTCCAGTACTGCATAAAATACTCCAAGTGAGGTCTCACCAGTGTTCTGTACAATGGCATGAGCACTTCCCTCTATGTCAGTGATGGCGAACCTTTTTGAGCCCGAGTGCCCAAACCGCAATACATGCCAACATTTTTTCTCCTTAAAGTGCCAACACGGCAATTAAACACAAATACTGAGGTTTAAGTTTAGAAAAAAAAAAAACTCGTACTGTTGTCCGAACTAATAACTTTTGTTTTAAAAGAACACAGAGAGTTCAATGATACAAATTTTAAATAATGATATAAATAGATAAAATTAAGCTTATATTTATTAGTATCTCCAACAAATGCAATACATACATAGACAGACTGCTGAATACATACACACAGTCTGCTGAATACACACACACAAGACTGCTGAATACACACACACAAGACTGCTGAATACACACAGACAGACTGCTGAGTACACAGACAGACTGCTGAGTACACAGACAGACTGCTGAGTACACAGACAGACTGCTGAGTACACACACACACAGACTGCTGAGTACACACACACAGACAGACTGCTGAGTACACGCGCACACACACACAGACTGCTAAATACACACATACTGCATTGAGGTGGGGGGTGCGTGTGAGTGTTGTATGTGAGGGGTGCTGTGTGTGTGTGGGGGGGGTGTTCTGTGTGTGTGTGCTATATGTGTAAGGGTGCTGCGGAGGGGTAGGGGTACTGTGTGGGGGGGTAGGGGTACTGCTGGGAGGGTTGGGGTACTGTGTGGGGGGTAGGGGTACTGTGTATGGGGGGTAGGGGCTACTGCTGGGCAGGGTAGGGGTACTGCTGGGCAGGGTAGGGGTTACTGCTGGGGGGTTCTGCTGGGCAGGGTAGGGGTTACTGCTGGGGGGTAGGGTACTTCTGGGGGGGTAAGGGTGCTGTGTGTCAGTATAACCCCCCCCCCCTCCTTCTTACCTTTAATGAAGTGGGGGGGGGGACACAGCGATCCCTGGTGGTCCGGTGGTGGTAAGCACTGCAGGGGGAGGGCTCCAGGAAGCAGCTCCCCTGTCCTCCTGCGCAATGCTGTGTGGAGCGTTGCCATGGTAACGCGCGGCAACGCTCCACACAGCATCGCGCGGGAGGACAGGGGAGCTGCATCACAGAGCCCTCCCCCTGCCTCCCGACCCGGAAGCAGAGTAGGCGCCTGCCGTTTCGGGCAGGCGGGCGCCTACTCTGCAGTGATGGCGAACCTGTGGCCGCGTGCCCACAGAAAGGGCCCCGCGTGCCACCTGTGGCACGCGTGCCATAGGTTCGCCATCACTGCTATAGTAGATTAAAGTAATGAAGTCAATTAAGAAAATGTATACATAAGAATCCCTAAAATAAATCTAAACTAAAATTGATATACCTTCCAATAATATGTTCTGAATACAGCTGTTAACTGTTTATTCTGTGTAAATGGTGATTGTGATAATGTATGATAAGTGTGCAGTTTAACTTGAAAGTGGTTTAATTTATATGTTGCTGTATTGTTTTAAATTATATGTGAATCAGTTTGTTACAGTCTAGTGATACTGATAAGAATGACAACCAAATAACCTAGCAAATAACTGTTTTATTAGTTGTTGAATACTAGCGTTTTGGCCAAGAATAGTTGGAGATTTGGAGGTGTTAGTTTAAGATTGCTTTTATTTTGTGTCTATCCGTGTTTCGTAGGAGGGAGACAGAGTGTGTAGTTGTGTGCCCATATATGTGATTTCTGTATTGGCATATCTGCTGGGTACCCATTATGTGTTTCTACAAAGATATTGTTTTGTGAGATGACGTGTAATATTACATTGGATGCTGAGTATGAGTTATATGGTTTGAAATGAATTGGTGATTATGAGTTTAGTACTTCAGTAAGATGTGCTAAAATCTGGAACAAGGTGGAAGCTGAAATGTTGGGATTATGGAAGAATAAGCAGTCTATATTCACTGCTTTGGCATATAAGCAGGATGCAAAGGAAGAGATTGGTAATATGATTTTTGTAAAGAAATTTTACAAGTGTTGGAAGGATGAGGCAGGTTTGATGTCTGGAGATGATATAGATCTCTTTAAAATACAGTCATGCCTTGGTAATATGTTGCCACAGTATTCTTTGCTTGTGAAACAATTGATTTCAGACTGGGCTAATTTGGATAGCTCAGATTTTCTTACCAAGGTTATGGAAAAGGAAAATGCAGGTTGTTTTGACTTAAGAAAAGATTTAGGAAAGTAAGGTTGCTTATTATGCTCAGGGATTGCAACACTGTCCACCTACACAGGCTGAGAGCGTGGATGGGATGGAGCACATAAAGCCAGTGGAAGGGGTGGTCAAAGAGGGGCAAGGGGATGGAGACAGGGAAATCAGGGTTATAAAGGCAGGGGTAACCAAGGAGGAATAGACAGGAACACTTGTTTCAACTGTGGCCAATATGGCCACTGGAGGAATGAGTGTCCACACCCCAGGAAACCCCAGGAAACCCCACACCCCCCAACAACCCCACAATTCTCAAAATATGCCCGGTAGGCAAGAACAACACCAGACCCACTCCCAACACCACTGGCCAGCATATCACTTAGTTCAGGACTTTAGAGCCCTGAATAGTTTAATTGTGCCCATTTCACCCATTGTCCCTGATGTGACATCCCTCATTACAGCCATTCCACATGATGCCACTTGCTTCACTGTCATTGATTTAAGTAATGCATTTTTTCTATACCTATTGATCAAGAGACACAGCTACTTATGGTTTTTACTTTTTGAAGGCTGTCAGTTTACCTGGACACGCTTACCCAAGGCTATGTGGATTCCCCAGCTGTTTATTCGTTGGTACTCCAACATACTCTAAAAAACATGGACCACCGGTCATGGTTCCGTCCTTTTTGCAAAATGTTGATGATTTGTTGTTATGTAGCCCTAGCTGTGAGGCAAGCACTGTGGATACTGTCAGCAACTGTGGGTCACAAGGTTGTTAAACACAAAATGCAATTGTGTAAATCAAAGGTTGAATACTTAGGTTTTGTTCTGGCTTTAGGCTCCAGACAATTGAGTCCAAAACGTCTTGAGGTCATTCAGAGGATTCCAACACCCACTACTCGGAAGGAGTTGCTCACCTTCCTCGGCATGATTAATTACTGCCACCAATGGATCCCTGAATGCTCCCATTATGACTCAATCCTAAGGGAGGCTGTACGTTCTGACAGCCCTGAAAATGTCTGCTGGTCACCAGACATGCTAGCTGCATATATTGCCCTTAAAGTTGTTATTGTGCAAGCCCAGGCTTTAGGACTACTTGTGTATTGTAAACCATTTCATTTGTATGCTCGGGACAACTGTAAAACCATGGCCGCGGTCTGTGCACAAGAGCAAGGAGGCGGTATGTGTCCCATAGCATTCTTTTCCAAAGTAGTACAAGCTCCGGTACAGGGTATGCCGGCGTGTCTCAGAGCATTGATAGCATGTGCAATGGCTGTTGAAACTGCTACTACTATCACACTAGGGCATCCTACAATACTTCATGCCAGTCACCAGGTCACTCAGCTGACAAATCTCACCACACAACACATGACAGCCCAGCGCTTCAGTGGTTATGAGATTCTTTTTTTTAAATACCCACAATCTGTCTTTTGGATTAAACAAGGTTTAGAGAAAGATCAAAATGATCTGTTCTCTAAAGAGGGGAGAATAGGCATACTTGAAGAATAGGCATACTTGAAGCAAGCTGCTTTATTTTCATCAGTCAGGCACATAGCAAGCACCATTCAATTCCTCATGAATTCATTTTATATTAGGAATCTCAGGCAACATGTACAGTCTTTTGTAAGATCGTGTGAACGCTGCTCTTTTTACACACTTACAGATTGATTTTATTCATGTATCCAAAATTGGTAAGAAACAGCAATACTTACTGGTCATAGTTGATCAGTTTAGTAGATGGCATGAGGCCTTTGTGACATCTAGGGAAGATGCTAGTGAAGATTATTGTTACTGAAATTATTCCCAGGTATGGCTGCCCTCTGCAGATTGGCTCTGATAATGGCCCGGTTTTTGCCAGTGGGGTTGCCCAGGAACTTGCTAAATTCTTGCAAGTTACCTGGCAGTTTTATATACCCTATCATCCACAGAATACAGGGGTAGTTGAAAGGATGAATAGGATTATTAAGGAAAAGCCCAGAATTTACCCAGGAACATGGGTAAATTGGACTAGATATCTACCAGCTATTTTAGCTGAGATAAGAATGACTCCCCACAAGGTGACTAAATTATCTCCATTTGAGATTTTGATGGGATGACCTTTTCCCACACCCTGGGCCAGGGAACCGCTTGTTATAATGTCTGGGGATTTACAGCTAATACAAGAACAATATGTACAGGAATTGTTGGTAAAACCGAATGGTGTGTATGACAACGTTTCTTTGCAGTTTTCCCTTACCTTCACAGGAACCTGCTCATCCATACCAGCCCGGTGACAAGGTGTATATCCATCAGCTGAACAGGACCAAGAAAGGAGGATATCCTTTTGGACCACCTGCTACTGTGATTGCTGTACCCAGAACCGCTGTCCTCACAGATTCCCATGAAATCTGGATTCACGCATCCCGAGTGAAGCTGTGTCCAAAGAGGGGAACCAAGGAAGACACCACCACTCCTCGCTCGGAAACAGAAGAATTTCTCCTCAGCGAAGCATCATGGCTTTTACACCATATCGTAGATTGAGAGGATCATACGTACCTGTGACCAAGATTATGTTGTGCGCTATGCTTTCTGGAGTTGTTATGCTCCCTCTGATATTGTTCCTTGAATGCCATTATGAGTACAAGTCAATGGCAAGTTTGAAACCTGTTTGTTTCTGGAAAAAAGACTCTGACATGATGAACAATTCTTCAATACCCCCAGCCCAATTAGGCCTTAGCCCCTCATCTAGCATTCGTCACACACGCCCCCTCAAGAACCTTTCTCCACCACCTTTCTATCAGCATGTAATATGCAATAATTCATTCACTGAACGCATTTGGATGAATTGGACAAATAGTAACCATTATAAGTACCAGTTACCCATATGAAATGTGTCCACAGCTAATGAAACCGATGCATTATGTTTGTTTGAAGGTTCACAGAAAATTGTTAGATCTTATAACGCAGAAATGTGCACAGTTAAGGTTACATATCAATGTAAACAGAGAGGCCTTATTACTTTTAATGATTATATAACTGGTATCATTAATTGGAGAAGGGGACAAATGTTAGTCATTATGAACGACACTGCAATTGAGAACTATACACTACCTTATATTTTTGCACATTATTACTGTCCTTTATCCTCTACCATAGAACCAAAAGTCAACAATGATACACACACACCTATTTCGTCCACATGTGTTAATACAACTGTCTTCTTACAAGCTGTACATGTGTCATTAAAAATCACTACTCTTGTTGTAACATTATGTAATACAACAAGCAAAGGCAGAAAAGGGAATGGTATGACACACTGTTAGGAGGTGCTGGAACCACTATGGGTATACTAAATAGTTATAGATATGGAGACCCTCAAGAATAAGTTAAACACAGCCAGTATGCATATAGGGACTGGTTTCCATGCTACTGCAAACTGGGCTCCAATTGTTGTTAAATCACAGGTTATAGGATTGGATTTAGATAAATCAATGTATAAATATTTAGATAATTTAACTGTTGCAACTATGAAATTCACTACAGGTCTAAGTAACTGGAGTACTTGTGCCATCAGGTATTTATGGATACAACAACAAGGATTGGCATTAGAAAACACACTAATGATTCTTAAACTAGAGAAGATTAGAGGAAAGTGTAACCTCACAGATAATGAATGGTGACTTCTAAAACCCCAATCCACTAAATGCAATGGATGGTTAACTGGTAATGTTTCACATTTTTCATGCTCATGCTATTTTACATTATATCATACATCATCAAAGGATGTTAAATTAGCTTGTCAATTTAACACATTACCAGTACCAGTTTATGATCTTTTTGCCAAGAATTTAACCTGGTGGGCACCCACTACACAGGGGACTATATTTTTCCCAAAGATAACACACACAGGTAGCCACACATATCCTAAATGGAGAACTCCTTAAGGTGAGTTCAGAAATTCAGAATGATTTAGCCCATCATTGGTACGATGCTTTACTGGTTGGTCCCCTACTGGATCCCAGATAATGAAATCATTCTTCTATCCTATTGTTATTATAGTCCTGATTTTATTGTGTATGATTTTATATAACTGTCACCTTAGTTGTACATTGAGGAAGTGAATACAGAAATTAATCCATAATGCAGAACAGAAACAATTAGAAATTCTCCTCTCTGCCACTGGAGGGTATCAACCCATCTTTAAACTGGGCCTTAGGAATTAACACATGGGAATCGAGGTGAAGAAATTAATGAAAGTCCCGCAGGGAGTGACTAGCACCCCTGAAAATACCATGTGGAGGTTTCTCTGTCCTGGTAAGATTTTATCGATAAGATGAGCAATTTTTTATTGCTCAAAGAGGGGAATGTAAGAATATTAAATAGTTAACTTGTTCATATGTATTTTATGCATTTATAAGGTTTATAACATGATTATTGCTGACTGAAAGGATATGAAATAGTTAAACTCAATGTACGACATAATATGCTGACTGTGACAGACTAAGGTATTTCTTCTATAGGATGTAAGACAATGCTAAATTTCAGGATGTCTTGCCCATTCCGATTTCAGGATATTCTTCCCCAGACGTATGCAAAAGCTTATCTTTCCATTGTCAGAATAACATGTAATATAAGGAAGTAATAAATCTTATAGTCTGTACTGTATTTGCATATAACATGGCTAATGTAAGCAAACTATGTATAAAAGCCAGCTCTGGAATACACTCATTTGAGAGTCTTGTCAACCATCCTGTTGTCCGTGTCTTATTGCTGACAATGATTCTCCATCAACACTGATTATGGTGACCGAGGGATCGAGAACCGAGGGGATTTGAGTCCATTACAGCATTAACCCTTTCACAAATATGTGTATTTTATTGCAGTAAAAGCAAACATTATTATGACATTGACCGTTAAAATGTCATGTAGAACTAAAAAACTAAAAAACAAAACGTATTTTCTCCAATGTTTTTCATATTAAATTATGTTTCATAGCAAAATATTTGATATTAAATGAAAGCCCTGTTTCCCCTGAATAAAATGATATATAATAAGGGTGGGTGCATTCAGGGCTGCCATCAGAAATGTTGGGGCCCCTGACACAGCTCAAGGTCTGGGCCCCCCGGTCCGCCCAAAGTGCTGCCCCCCCGAATCCCATCACAATGGGACATCACAATGCCCCACCCATATGATCTGCCATGTTAACTAACACCAGTGCTGCAGTGCCGCCGTGTTTACATTAAAAGGCCTGCAGGGACAGGCTAGACACCAGAACCACTACATTAAGCTGCAGTGGTTCTGGGGACTATAGTGTCCCTTTAATGTGAGGTAAATTAGAGATTAGTGCCACGAATAATATACTAGATTGCCTACTTACAACCAGATGAGGATGATGATGGGCTCTAGCTGCCGTCTGGCTCCACTGGTCTGGTGTACAACAGGCTCTCTGGAGGCGGTTTGTAACTGTGGTCACAAAAATCACTGTTCTGGGAGAACGGGAAGCAGCTCCATTTTTTGAGGGCCCTTTACACAGCTCAAGGTCTGGGTCCCAGGGTCCACCTTCATGTTCCACCAATGAGTTTGTTCACAGGGAGTGGAGTGTGTGTGTGGGGGATGTCCTGATGTGTGTAAGGAATGCATTGTGTGAATCTGTGTTTGTATGTGTAAGGGCTGCAAGATGAGTTTGTGTATGTATGGGATGCAGTGTGTGCGTCTGTAAGGGATGCATTGAGTGTGTGTAAGGGGTGCATTGTGTGTTGTTGTGTGTAAGGGATGCATTGCTTGTGTACGTGTGTCTGTGTGTAATGCATTGTGTGTTTTTCTGTGTGCAAGGGGTGCATTGTGTGTGATGGATGTCAATCTCTCCCCCTCCCCCCGTCAATTTCCTTCTCCCCCCCTCTCCCTCCTATTTCCTTCTTCTCCCCCTCCCTCCCTCCCTCTCTCCAATTTCCTTCTTCCCCCCCTCCAAATTCCTTCTTCTCCCCCTCCCTCTCATTTCCTTCTCCCGCTCCAATTTCCTTCCTCTCCCCTCCAATTTCCTTCCTCTCCCCGTCCCTCAAATTTTCTTCCTCTCCCCCGGCCCCTCCTCAAATTTCCCCTTTCCTCTTCCCCTCCCCAAATGTAATTCCCCCTCAAATTTCTATTCCTCTCCCCAAGCATACTTTTCCTCCCTCCTCAAATTGAATTCTCTCCCTCCTCACATTTCTTCCCTCAAATTTACCCTCCCTCCCAGGTTTCACCTCTTCCTCCTATAAATTCTATTTCTTCCCCTCCCATTTACCCTCCCATTTCATCACTCCCTCCCCATTTCATTACTTCCCCCTCTCAAATTCCATTTCTTCCCCTCAAATTCTAATTTCTTCCCCTCCTCCCATTTAATTCCTCCCTCCCCAGTTGACATTCTCGAGTGGCGGATCAGCACAGCAGGTTACTCTTCAGTGTTTCTTCAGCTCCCTCGCGCACCGTACTGATGCCGGAGCTGGAAAATTATGTCATCTTCCGGCTCCGGCATCAGTACGCGGCGCGCGAGGGAGCTGAAGAGGAAGCACACAGAGAGTGCTCCCTTGCGCGCCGGCCGGCCGGCCAGCCGGCTTTCAGGGCCAGCCTCTGGGGGGCCCCTGAGGTGACCGGCTGCTGGGTCCCCCAGGAGAAGAGGCTGGCCCTGTGGGTACATACCGGGGTCGCAGGGCCCCCTGCGACCCGGTATGTACCCACTGAATGTGGGGCCCGGACGACCTGAGCAGTCCGGGCCCCCCAGGACCGCCGGGCCCATGACAACCGTTGTGGTTGTCATGCCCTGATGGCGGCCCTGGGTGCATTTACTATGAAAGAGGTGAATTACGGTTGGACAGACATGTAGCGCAAATGCCAGGTTTTGTTTACATTTTGTTTCGTTCACAACGTGTACATTTGGCTCCGTCCTTAAGGGGTTAATAGCTGTAGGAGAACCACTCACACTTAGAGGAGCTATACAAGAGCTCTGCTTTGTAGCGCATGGACGGTATAATCCCTGTCTGAAGATATGAGCCGGTGTAGATGACGCTGGTCTTCTAAATGCAAATGCAGGTGTAGATAGTAGACTTGGGCATTTCAGAAATTTTCGTTTCGTACGAATATATTCGTATGAAAAAGAAAATAGTTTAGTCAGAACCGAAATTCGTCAATTCTTTCATTCGTTTTCGTACGATATTCGTTAATATTTTAGTTTCGGCTAAACTCGTTCGTTCATTTGGCGCGATTTAATCGAACCGAATGAATTGAATACATAAAACTATGTTCCCTAATCCCTAAATACCGAATAGGTTCAACCGAACTCAGTATAACCAATCGTTTCAAATGTTGTACATTGCTCTAACAACATGGCATTGAATGCTGTATTTCGTTTAATTTACGCCTAAAACTCCTGAAGTAACTCCCGAACCGACAAATGCACGAACGCTGACATTCACATGAAAATGTATTGGGCGTTATTAGTAAACTACTGAACACTATTCGCTACAGTCATTCGTATGTCGAATGGTATTGCAAATACAATGCAATCATAAAAGTCAGTTCCCTAATCCCTAAATAATGAATAGCCTCAAGTGAACGCAGTAAAACCATTCATTCGTTTACATTTTCGTACATTGATCTCACAACACATGGCATTGGACAATGTTCTAATCTATTTACGCCTAAAACTCCCGAACTAATTCCCGAACCGCCAAATTCACGAACGCTAAAATTCGCATGAAAAGGTATTGGCACTATTAGTAAACTACCGAACACCACTTACTATAGTCATTCGAATGTCGAATAACATTGCAAATGCAATGCATTGCTTTTGCTTAGTTTCTTGGGCTCATGATTCATCATGCTTCCCTGACAGGTGGTACTGGCAACACAGTATCATTTTATAAGGGAGTGGGAAAGTAGTAGCCAATTAAATAGGCTTTTACATACTGCCAGACAAAACTGTAGAAAAAAAAAGTATCAACTCAAGGCAGTCCTTCAATGCAAAATCTATCCAGATTTTCTAGAGGCCAACCATTCTGCCATTTTGGAGCTCAGCCAGCCTACCACCCTGTCAGCCATTTTAGGCACTTGGACACAGAGCCTGCCAGAAGTGGTCATGTCCTCCTCCAGCTCCTCAAGCGACATAGCCATGGATGTAGTGGAGGGGGGCATTGGCCACTCTGGCCAGGAGGTAGAAGAAGCAAGTGGGAGAAGCAAGAAGAAGCAGCCCAGGATCTTAAAAAGAGGAAGAATAAATACGCAGATAGCTTTCGTGCAGAGGAGAATACAGTACTGGTAAACAAGCTTTGCCAGTAATACCAATGTATATTTGGGGGAGCAGCCAAAAAGAGTTCAAGAGCAAAGAAGGACAATCGGTGGAGGAAGATTGTGGCAGTGGTGAATGCTGTTGGAGGGAACAACCGCACTCAGGACGTGGTGAAGAAGCGGTAAGTGCACTTATATTCCTAAAAAATTATTTTCTTTATGCCATTTTTTTTTAAACTTATTTTTTTCCTCCATGTGCTTTTGCTACACACCCCCACCAGTGGCAGCTATGCTTTTAAAGTCTTTTAAAAGTGAGGGTTGGGTCACTTAAG